GGTCCCGAAGACCTGCCTCTGTCCAGAGCCCCTCCTGGGACGAGGAGGGAGAGCCTTTCCGACGGCTGAGCTGCAAGGCCGACCCCTCACCTCTGTCTCGGGCCCTCACTCTCTAGTGTGACGGGCTCCCCTCCACTCCAGGGGGGACAGGATCAGCTCAGCCCAAGAGTGATGGGGGGGGCCATCTTCCCTCACAGGAGGTGGCTGTTCTCAGGGCGCACCCCTTGCTCCACGGAGATCTTAGCCCTGAGGTCTCTCTCCCTGAACAGGACACGCAGGCGCCATCAAACTGCGTCACCCGCCCTGGTCCATGCCATCGGGGCCCGCGGCGCCCCATCGGCCTGCCCCTGGTCCTTCCCGGGGTGCTCTTCCTGGCCCCACCTTCCCTGGAGGTCACTCTTCACCGCCCTCGCTGGGCCTGCCAGTGAGCGCCCTCCATTTCTGCTTCTAATCCGAATCCGCTGTCCAGTTTAAAACGAGACAAGCATGTCCTCCGTCATGGTGCCTAACACAGGAGCCACCGGGCGCTGAGCGGCCTCGTCCGTACACCAAGCTGAGGCCTCAGTAGCCCTGGACTGGGGGTGGGCTTCTGGGTAGGTCACCCCAACGATATGCTGCGTTTCCAGGGCTGACTGCAGACCCCCAGTCCAGGGCCGCCCTTCCCCACCTCCAAACAGATCCACCCCGAAACCGTCCGCACGAGCCTGTACACGCAGAGCACACAGAGTCCTGTACATCGGTCCTGGTCCCGCACAGCGCACGTGCAGCATAAATAGACGAGACAACACCGTAGAGAGTCGTTCTGTGCTGGGAGCATCCGCAGTCTCTGTCCCGGCAGCTCTGCCGTCCACCTGCCCACGTCCAGTGCCCCCGTGTCCTGAGGAGGAGCAGGGCTGCCGGAGGCCGGAGGAGAAAGTCGCCGGTGTGCCCCGTGGCTAGGTGGGCGGGGGGCCGCTGTAGCGGAGCATGAGCCGGAAGGAGCGGGCGAAGTTGTTGGCCAGCGTGCAGCTGCGGGCCTCCTCGCCCACAGCAGCAGCCAGCAGGAGCAGCTGCAGGGGCAGCGCCACGCAGCACACCCTCCGGAGGAAGCCGCGGGGTCCTCGCCACTGCTGGGCCTGCGGACAGAGCGGGTGTGAATGGGCAGGGTCCTGTACATCGGTCCTGGTCCCGCACAGCGCACGTGCAGCATAAATAGACGAGACAACACCGTAGAGAGTCGTTCTGTGCTGGGAGCATCCGCAGTCTCTGTCCCGGCAGCTCTGCCGTCCACCTGCCCACGTCCAGTGCCCCCGTGTCCTGAGGAGGAGCAGGGCTGCCGGAGGCCGGAGGAGAAAGTCGCCGGTGTGCCCCGTGGCTAGGTGGGCGGGGGGCCGCTGTAGCGGAGCATGAGCCGGAAGGAGCGGGCGAAGTTGTTGGCCAGCGTGCAGCTGCGGGCCTCCTCGCCCATG